GTTGATTGCGAAATACAAGGCAAGAGGAGGTTTCAACGTTGCTGGTTGTGGCGTTAAACAACACTAAAAAAAAAGGGAGCCCCTGTGCCAACACCGCATGCGCTGTGGTATCATACATTTTCATTGTTTTCATCCCTTGTGAATGTTTTGAAAATTACCTGCGTGAAGTAAAGATATATTTCACCAGAAATAATACATTTTGAAAATACGACCATGTTTAATGATGGCCTGCAGCACATATAGGTGATTTACATGTCAGCGTTCTTAACCCAACAGCATTGATTTCCTTCATTACATGTCACCTGTAAAATATTTTTTTGTAAATTTGAACGGAGAAAGAAGTGTTTTTCAAATGATAATTCCGTTCAGCACCACGTGTATCTACAAGAAATGAGAGATAATCAATAGCAGAAAATTGTACATGTGTTTTAGGTCTTGGCTTTTGTTCCCAAACCGTATTACTCGGCGAATTGATTGCCCCTTTCTGAGGCTGGCAGTCTGTGAAGAGGGAGAAACCTCTCAAGTTTGGGACCAATTAATTTAATTCATTTTTATGATTTTGTGGTCGTTAATTTATTTCAAAGAAAGAAACTTTTCAAATGTCTCAGTGTGGTTTGGTAGCCAAAGTGCTTGTTGCACCAAATACCTTAATTGGTTCCTTTCCGAACATGCGACATTTAGCGCTCTCTGACACGCCAAAGGGACACAACTCTGCAGAGTGAATATCGGTGTCCTCTACACCTGAGTCATAATTTGATTGAATGAATGACACCTTGAGTGAATGAGTTGGATTAAATGCAGTATTTCTGCCACGTCACTCCGTGCTGGCTAACTGGACGGACATCCAAAGTGAAGCAGTTCAAACACAATTATTTATGGTTACACTTAACTTAGATTATATATAGACCGAACCTGAGATCAGGTTTTGTAATCCTAATGCTCGAATATAATAAGCGACATCCCTTTCCATAGTCGTGAGAAATCTCTGCTGAAGGAGAAGAAATGCACGTCTGACGTAGGTCGTAAATGTTTACTAAATGTCACTGTGGTCGAATCATCACATATACAATCACATATATAAACCGTTAAATCCCCAAATGCCCCAGATCCAAGTCTCGATATCCGATGAAAAATATGTATTTGTGTATGATATATAGCCATGATATTAAAATATACTCTCCCAAAAAAGAAACGCATCATGAAAATAGCAATTTCATGTAGCAATGAATTAAAACGTGATTCATTTTACAAAAGGTTTTGCTCTGTTTATGAGTCCTATGGTGTTTATGTTTTGAAACATCACAACAAAACGCACCATCCGTAAAAATACCTGTATTTAACAGCATGATTTTCAATTTCGGCGTGTAGTGTCACAGAATACACAATTCACGTGCACTGCACGTGAAAGTTGGGGATCAGATAGTCTCAATGATGGGTATAAAAGGTTGATCGCTGTCTGTCGATTATGCACTGTATTTGGAATATTGTTGACGAACGCAAAATGCCACATGTAAGTGAAGCCAACCGTCATATCGCCATTGGTTTGCTTGAAGCTGGCCAGTCTCAACGTGCCGTTGCCCGACGCATGACTGTTCATCAAAGCACCATTTCACGGCTCCTGGAGAGATATCGTAGTGGGCGACCTCTAGCGACCACTGCGGCGCAGGATCGCTACATCCGGGTACATCACCTGCGTCATCGAACAGCTACGGCGACCAGTACCGCTCGACAAATACTCGGATTGAGGAGGCTTTCTGCAAAGACCGTCAGGAACAGGTTGAGAGAGGCTGGTTTACGTACCAGAAGACCTTATTTTAGCCCCGTGCTTCGACAACAACATCGAGTTCAAAGGTGCACCAACGTTCAGGCCTGGAACCTACCGAATTGGCGTAGAAACGTAGATTTCTATTGGAACGACGCGATGGGAAAATGCGGGTGTACAGACGTCGACGTGAACGTTTCGCCGACGCTTGCGTTCCCCAGGTTGACAGATTCGGCCGGGGCAGTGTTATGATGTGGGGAGAGAGATCACCTGCCGTAGGAGAAGTGATTTGGTGATGATCCAGGGCAACCTGACAGCTCAACGGTACTGTGACGAAATCCTACGCCAACACCTCCTTCCAATCATTGATCGCCAGAGGGAGTTGTTTCAACAGGACAATGCCAGGCCCCACACAGCACGTCACACTAGAGACTTCTCCAGAACCACAATATCAATGTGCTCCCCTGGCCCTTAAGATCACCAGACTTAAACCCGATCGAACATCTGTTGGATGTCCTGGACAGACGGGTGCGACGCCGTAACCCTCAGCCCCAGACACTTCAGCAACTCGCACAGGCACTACAGGCAGAGTGGGCTGTGATTGGGCAACACGAGATTCTGAGACTTATTCGTTCGATGCCGAGGCGATGCCGTGCAGTTCTGGATGCCCACGGTGGTCACACGAGGTATTGACTTCAGCGCCACCAAAGGTGCACCAACGTGACATGTGACACTCAAACTGACTATCCTCGAGTTGGTGCCAAAGACGGATAAGTCTGCATTCCCAGTGTGCAATTTCGCTATATTCCTTGACTCATAAAGCCTACAAGATGTTTCAAAATAATCATAAAAATACAGTTGAAATTCTATATGCGTTTCTTTTTTGGGAGAGTATATATGTCGCATTGGGTGCTTGGTGTCCTTATTGGTTTCCAGACGGCGTGGGACGTTGTACATTATGTCCATCTGAAGTGGTTTGTTGATTATTTTCAGGTAGCAAAAACAGCTGGACTACTGTTTCCTGTATCTTGAAACAACAAACAAACAAAATATCAACACAAACGAAGCCGCAACATCTTGTATCCTTCAGGGCGTCACACAGCATTTTCCACAACACCATGACGTCACCTTGACCCGCTATCTTGAAGGTCAGCTGCAGAACTGATCAGCTGCATAGTAGTGGCGTCGTGGAGTCACCGCTAAGGCCTGATCTCAACTTAGCTTTGTGTTATTGTTCGATAAGTCCTCCTGGCCGTGGGAGCACTCATTCCTAATTATTACCACAGTATCAGATGATATCAGACATTCACCGGTCAAATCCTTGCCTTGTAAACAAGGTCTGTTCTTGAAGACAAATCAATGCCACTCGGGGTTGGTTATATGTAACATACAGAAAGACCTGTTGCTGGGGAGTATTGTTTCAGTCACGTACACATGATAGCTTGGCTGATGGAGGTGGCAACAGCTGAGGCGTCAACACCAGACTTATTGCATTGAACACACATACATTGTAAGCTCCAATACCAGTGACATCCTTAATAAAACTGAACTGTTGCAGCGCATTTGCTCATTTTGTAATTTAATGTCAGAAAATTTGATACATGTTTATTGGGAATGTGAATGTGTGAAAACGTTCTGGCTGAAAGTGAAAGAATATATTGAAGATAAATCATCAGAAAATTTTACCCTGACAAAATATACAGTCTTAATTGGCGGATATAATAACGACCTTATGAATCACATTCTTCTTGCCAGTAAAAAAATTATCCATATATCAAGTATTAAAAAAAATGAATTATCACTGGATACATTTGTAAAAATATTGAGTGATATCTTCAAGACAGAAAAGTTTATTGCCAGTAAGAATCAAAACATATTACAATTTGACAGAAAATGGTCATCTCTACTGCACACATTCCCAGCCTAATGAAGATCCCAATATGTGTAATGCCAACCCATATGAATTTCTCTCCTACGGTGTACAAGTGTTGTTGCATCATGTGCTTTGTATACATGTATCTACTGATTTTGAATGAATAAAAAAACAACAACAAAAAAACAAAAAAAACTGTTGCAGCGCAAAAGAACAAACAATATGTTGGAAGTAGGAACGTTATCGTGAAACCGTCATTAGTCTTCATAAAATTTACGTTCAAAATGGTGTGCTGGAAAAAGTGCTTTTGATCAACATGCTTGACTTCAATTTGTTCTCTGTCGTCAATATCAGATATTTAGTCCTCGTTATGACGTACATATCAATATATTTTCATCTAACTAATGTAAGAAGACGTATACGGCATGCCATATATTAAAACAAACACCATCCTTGTGGACACCTGGTGTCATCAGTATTTCACGGATTCATAAACACATGCTCATAATGTAGTCTATGTCACAAGATGGACACCTTCCAACAGAGATTTCTCACGATTATAGACGCAGTTTTGTGGCGTTGAGACGAGTAAATATGTACACAGAGTGAGTGAGTTAATATTTAACGTCACATCTGCAATATTTCAGCCATATCGTGACGAGAACATAATTGACATTGAAATGGAATATATTATAAAAACCTGTCGACGAAGGACAGTAAAACAACTAGAATATCACAGTTATAACTAAAACTAGTATGGAAGTTTTAAAACTAATAGCACTATTTAGACAATACAATATAAAAACTGGCTATAGATCGCCAACAACTGAAGGTAGATCACCATACCAGGGACCATGGGGACTTACAGTACATTTGCTACCTGCATGGACCCTAGCTGGATTTATATCATCCCTTCAGCCGCTTGCGATGGAAGTAAAATTTAGCCTGAATTAAATGACAAAAATACTACATTTAAAACAGCTGGTAAATATAAATTTCTTTTGAATGTTTCGGGACTTACGTTCCAATATGTACACAGATACTGCTTTCAGCCCAGATTTGTCGGTGCTGAAATTATGCAGGTGCGTTCCATCACAAAGGATACACATTTCAATGTTAAAACAGTTAAGGATCTTTTGAACGTAAATTATTATATAATCATTGAATTTTTAAAGGAAATGGAATTATTAGATACATTTTGAATAATATGTTTGTAAATAGATAAATGGTATTTTAAACACGGTAGCATAAATTAGCATATGCGATTGTTAGTGGCTGTACCCTCAAAGGGGATTGAGCTTCTTAAAATTGTTGTCCTCCTGAGAGGGTGCGTAAGTCCAAACACTTTCCAAGTGAAATTTAAGTTTATCGGAATTTTAATCGTAGTATTTTTGTTCTTTTAAAATTCGGCTAAACTTTTCCTACAATCGCCAGCGGCTGAAGGGATGACATAAATCCAATTAGGGTCCATGCAGGTAGCAAAGGTACTGTAAGTCCCCATGGTCCCTAGTATGGTGATCTACCTTCAGTTGTTGGCGATCTATAGCCTGTTTTTATATTGTATTGTCCAAATAGTGCTATTAGTTTTAAGATTTCCATACTAGTTTTAGTTATAATTGTGATATTCTAGTTGTTTTACTGTCCTTCGTCGTTTTTATAATATATTCCATTTTAATGTCAATTAAAGTATTGTAGATTTCATGACTAGCTTTAAATATATATCTGTGATAGTTTAGTTGGTTTTACTGTCCTTTATCGACAGATATTTTAAACCTTGTTTTCATCGCTATATGGTTGTAATATTGCCGATGCGATGTAAAAGTTTAACTTACTCACTCACTAGTCAGGTGCGATGCCTCTGTATAGAATGTTATTTCAACTTGAGGACTCAGTTCTTACAAAAAATACGACTTCCATTGCGGCATTGCGTAAGAACTATTCCTGATAGAAAAGAATCCTAAGCCGAATTTACAGAAATGTAATCAATTTAGAGTCTGAATGTCTTGTGTCCACTTGTGTAATCCCACGCCAGACAAGTCAATACTAGTCGATACTGATTACAGAAATACTGAGTTCTGTGTAATTTCGTCTGAATAATATACATCTTAAAATCTTAGCTTACATGAGGTGAGGTGAAATTGGGTTTAACGTCGTGCTTGAGAATATTTTGCTCGTATGACGACGTGCATGCGTGTGTATGTGTAGGTGCGGCTGCTTGTACTGGACTGACTGACTGACTGAGTTGAGTTTTACGCCGCTTTTAGCAATATTCCAGCAATATCACGGCGGGGGACACCAGAAATGGGCTAAACACATTGTGCCCATGTGGGGAATCGAACCCGGGTCCTCGGCGTGACGAGCCAACGCTTTAACCACTTGGCTACCCCACCGCCCCGCTTGTACTAGACCAGACTGAAGCTGGTTTTATAGTGCTAGCCCACATAGATACCATTCCGCAGTGAAGCATGAATACCCCACTCAGACACATTATACTGACTCCGAGCCGACCAGTCCTTGCTGTACCCATTAATGCCGAGCGCCAGGCAGGGACCAACAAGTACCATATTTTAACGTCTTTTGGTATGACGCGGTCGGGGATCGAACCCGCGACCTTCCGCTCTCCGGGTAGCTTACATGAAATCCATACAGATATATGCGAGTCGATAAAGTTATTAGATTAAAGTTTGTTTCAACAGGCGACAAAAGATTTGGCTCTTGTTGAACGCCCGCACTCAACAATATTCCAGCTATATGACGGGAGACAAAATAACTGAAAATATGTTTTAGATGTAGAGGTTTAATATGTAGATGAAGGTGGAGCTGAGTTTATACTTTCAATCTTTGTATTCTCAATAGTTGTACTCTCACTACTTGTGCTACTGTCGCGTGCTGATTCCCAAGTTAAAACTATACGTTAATCAATCCGTCAAAAATCTCGGTGTAGAACCAACCAACAAGAAAGATTTGATATAATTGACACTTTTATTCTAAAATCTATTAATTACAAGTTGTGTTCAAACAATCCTCAAAATATGTAACAAAAGTGTTGATAACACGAGTTTACACAATTGCACAAGTAAAAATCGACTTCACCAAAAAAGGTTAATTTTGATGAGATTTCTTACAAGGATTAAAAAGGCATAGCCACAACGCGACAGAAACCACCTTCCAGTTGAAATTGGGCAGCAAGGAGCATGCACCGTCTGGCTATAAAAATCCAGATTACTTCCGGAAATCGGCATTCGTTTTGAAGGAGTTTCAAGGTCAAAGGTTGAAGTTTTGTAAAATTATTATAAAATTATAGTCAATTTAATATATAATTATAGTCAATTTAAACTTTAATTTTGGCTAACGTTTCTTACAATCGCCAGCAGCTGAAGGGATGGTGTAAATCCAACTAGGGTCCATGCAGGTAGCAAGGGTACTGTAAGTCCCCATTGTCCCTGGTATGGTGATCTACCTTCTGGTGTTGGCGATATATAGCCTGTTTTTATATTGTATTGTCCAAATAGTGCTATCAGTTTTAACTTTCCACACTAGGTTTAGTTGCAATTGTGATATTCTAGTTGTTTTACTGTTCTTCGTCGACATGTTTATATAACGTACATATTTTCCATTTCAATGTCAAATGTTCTCATTTAACTTTTTATTGTATAAATTGTTTTCGTCACGATATGGCCGAGATATTGCCGATGTGACGTTAAATATTAACTAAATATTAATAAAATACTTTTTACTCAGTAGATACAAATATAAACCAGTTGTTACCCGTTAGGTTCTTTAAAAATATTAATATACCACAGAGCACGCCGTCCATTTGGACAAACACAATCCGACTGTACCCTTTGAGAATCACAATCCCTTCCCACGACATGGCGACTGTCGTCATTGACTTGATCCAAACTGGAAGTAATGCCTCCAATTTACAGTATTCCCAAAGGACAACCCTTCAGCAGGGAGAGAGACATAAACTGCTTGTGTAATTCTACCCAGTTCTTGTTTTAGGAAACCACTGAATGTCCAATCCATATGTGGGATGTTAAGGTCCAGTCTAATTTAAGTCTTCCATTCCTTGGTATTCGCTCGATGCCCACAATGAAACAAGAAGGTAATTTTACACTTATTGAATAAAATGATAAACAGACCACGATTCTTGGCACCGTGCAATAAACTAAACGATCGTAAAAGTTGTAAACTGGTCGGAATACGGATCTTGTGACGATTCTTGGTCACCATGACCCGGAGTTTAGGCTGCTATGTAGGGCATGCGCGTCTGTTATCAGACTTCCGCTTCCTGTTGCACGGTCAGGCAGACTGCAGGACAAAAGAAAATACACACCCATGTTTGAAGATGGCTGAACATGAAGCAAACAACCAAAGGTTATTCATTGTTGTATTGGGACCTCAAGTCTCAGTGTTTGGGCTACTGTTTCTTTCTTGTAACTGTTGATAATATTTGTAATTGTTCATAATAATTTCAAGTCAACATACAAGTTCTTGTGTCCGGCAGTTGTTCCACACATATCAATGTCTTGTTATGTCAAACCATATGTGTGAAAAACCCGATCGAACACAATTGTTGTTCAATCACCAGTAAAATGGGAGTCATGGTTCACAGAAAATTGTTGTGTGAATGTTGTTTTAGGCTTATCCAACAATATTCAAGCCTCATCAAAGCGATTTTGGACCAGGCAAATCAATGTTTTGTAATATGAGCGGTAATCAACTCAACAAACCAAATACCTGGTAATTAAAGCTTTCGCCCGTCACGCTGGAGGCCGCTTCGATTCCCAAAACTCGCTCATTTAATATTATAGGTAACCGCTGAATACTTAATCTATTGTGTCTGTGAGATAATAAGGTCACATGTTACTATTGTCCTAATAATCTTGGACCCGTGAATATCCGGTTTAGAACACCATGCTTGTCGTAAGAGGCGACTAACGGGGTCAGGAGGGCAGGCCCGCTGGCTTGGTTGACATATGTCATCGTATCTCAGTTGCTCGATGCTCATTATATTGATCACTGGATTGTCTGGTCCAGACTGGATTATTTACAGACCGCCGGATATCGCTCGATCAGATCCCACACGATGTTTATTGGATCTCTATTAAAATGGGAGCCACGATCCACAGAACTTGAGCAAGTTAATGTACAGCTTTTAGCCATTTCCAACAATATTTAAGCTTTTTCCCGGCGAACTTTGAGTAACTGCGCCTAGACCCGGTAAATCACACATATTTCTATCAGATTGCATGAAGATCACCAGCATGTGTTATGAAACACTGTCAGGAAGTGATTATATCAGGTGTTCGCGAAACTATGCTTCAGACAGGTGTCTCCCATCACAAACACATGCAAGGACAAGTCAATTGTTTACCGAGAAAGACACCTTACATGGACCTATTTACACGGATGAGTTAAACGTTAAAAATCGTACAATAAAAATTTTACTCCCTCTCCGTAAAGGATGTGATAGAAAACGGAACATATTTTGACCTCGGACAATCTGTGTCTTGCATGCCTCAAAGACGAGTTGTTAGTCGATGAGAACAGTTCTGTGTGATTTGTAGTTTCTCTTGGATGAATCTGTCGATGATATATACAGTAAGGACTTCATTTATGTGTCTTAATATATTTTATAGGCCATTTATTCCAATCACACAGAATGGTTTCTAAATTAGACCAATAAAACCCAAAGTAGTTTTTCTGAATTGATTCCATTTGAAATTCTGCATTATTTTGACTGGCAGAAATAGCAGGGGAATTGACATATAGACAGGGAATACTCAACTCTACCGACAGCTAGAGAAAGTTATGACATGTTTCTTTATACAGTGTTAACGTTTCTAATCATGTCATTGAAGAGTTTAAGAGTGGGATCATTGCGAAGAATTTCTCAGTGATTGAAAACTTTGAATGCTTTATAACGGATTTTTTAAAAGTCACTTAATCTTGAGCTTATCCTGAGAAGTTCAAGTGAATATTCATATATGCATAAGTCGCGAGTGACGACGGATTCGACTCCTCATGTGGCTTCAAAACGTGAAGCCAATGTGATGTGTCCCCGATCGTCACTGTTTTCCTGTGCTTTCTGGATCACATTTTCCCCACTACCCTTCTCAGAATTTCAAATTTGATCCTCAAACTATATCTTGGCAAAGTTCCACTGCTCATGTATATTTTTAACGTTGACGCCAGAGAATCTATGTCACTCACTGACCCCAGTGAGTGACACCAGGCCATGACCCGTACCAAAACACACGCAAAACAAGCATCACAGTAATTACTAGTCTTTCAGTCGCAAACCAGAAGCTCAATGAATCAAATTTCCGATCAGGTCTCAAATGTGTATAGCTGTAAATAAATGACCATGATACTAAAAAGTCAGTTATGAGACCAAAAAAATCAATAAATTGAGAATATAAAGGAAAAAATATTTCCTCTCCTTGTTTCCATGTTGATAGAACGTGCCACATGTTCTGGGAGCCCGTCTCTGTCCTCGCTCTAACCCTGCGTTTACTAGACTATAATCCTATTAGCAGCACAATCTACTGCATGTAGGGTAACACGGGCCATTCCATTGATTGCATTAATTACTATCTATTATTATTATTATTTTATCTTTCATAAACGAAAGCAAAAAAGACCCCCAAAACAACACAAAAAATCCCCAACCAAACAAACAAAAGGAAGCCAAACTTTTTTTTAAAAAACCCAACTAACTAGCCAACCCCCACCCCACAATGGTGTGCAGTGATGTTTTCTATATACTTTACTTTATATAAATGATACATGGGTGCACGTAAAAGCAGCACGTCCATCATTGTGCTAAAGAAGGTTGAAATTCGACGTATTGCTGAACAATTGTCTTCACCACAGAGAGTGACGTTGGCAAGAGACTGATAATGATGATTCAGTGATGCCTGGACACGATGTCCTTCAAACATCCCAATGAAGGCGACATGAAGCAAACATACATCATTGTGAGTAGTCTGCATATTTCATGATTTGTGAGAATCTCGCGAGAGTGGCAAGTCTCACGAGACAGGTGCGTGTCTAGTAAAACGCGATAAACTATGTCCTGAGTGGTATTTACGATGTCACAGAAACCGTAAAGGTCAGTTCTTATTTGACCAAATTGACTTCATGTCAAGTTTGCTGAATAACAAGATTTATTTCACAATAATCTATGGAGGAGTTGCAGACACTGTACTTCTTGTGTTCATTAAAACGCTGTAGTTGCTGTAGTGATATATCTGTTGACGTATAAAACCTATACTTAACAGACAGAACAAATTTATCTCGAAATTCACAGCGTACTGTTTCAGTAGCAATTAATTCCGAATTAAAAAATAAAACGAAATAAGGAGACCATTGAAAGCCCTTAGATCACTGATGCACATTGGGAAGTGGATTTACATTTTCACAAATCGTTATCGAAACATGATGTCTATTTGTAATATACGATCAAAATCAATTATGGATGAGGAAATATTTGTCATTGACAAAATAAATTAAAGAGCAGCAACTGTTGTAAAAGGTGTCATAAAAACAAACCACAAGGCTTCGTGTCAAAGAGCGTTTTTTGTGCTTCTTGCTTTGTTGTAGTTGGATTTATCGCTAATTTCACTGGAGCAATAGTTTGAGATCTGGTCCTCAAAATCAAATGCTTGTCGTAAAATGCCATATGGAGTGGATGGTCAATTTCAATGACTTGGTCTGTCTGTACGTATCTATACAGATACATGGACACATGGGTCGATGCTCAGCCTTGGCTCGCCACATTCTCAGCTCTAAGAGGTTTTAGGATTTCTAAATATTCTACAGATTTCAGGGTTTCTGAAAACTCCTGAGCTAACAATATGTGCTTGCATTTAACTTTAGGCATAACTGTATTTCGGGGACAGGAAATATGATAAACAGAGGCCTACAGAATCAGAAACTATCTTTTCAAAATGAAGATGCGCCATTATTGTGAAAAAAACCCAAGATTCTCCAAAAGTATTAAAACTCCTCAATATTACAAAAATCAACGCTTTGTGACAGTCGCATGTTTGACTTGACGAGTGTCCTTTAATACATATTTGAATGAATGCATGCCTGGATACATAGACAGAAAGTTAAATCTGAATGCAAGCAGCTCATATCGTCCCCGGATGGACTGCATGTTGCTTGGCGAAATAAAAAAATACGACTTAGAAAGATGGAAACTGAGAATGCAAATCACAAGAAGTGTTTGCCACTTATGTGGCAATATCCCCCGCCGCTAAAGAATGGAATATCTATATTTACTACTTTTTAAATATTTTGGGTCACATACAGGATGCCTGAAATGACTGGTCTCTGCATAATCACCCAATGTAGGCTGTCAACATATGAGATATCGCCTTTAAAAAGCGGTCAAAGTATCGTGGTGACCTTGAAGATAAGGTCAAGGTAACCCAAATAAACTG